GGCTGAAACCCTGTGGTTCAGAGAGAATATGAAGTGTTGCTTCTACACTAGATGCCAGCTGGTTGCATGGATTAGTGGTAAATACTCCAGGCTAGAATCAGAAGGCTGTTCCCAGTTTCATTTTCTTTCTGACTCAGAGCAAGTTCTTCCTTCTGTGATTCACCTGTCCAGCTGCTCACAACATCTCACCTTTATCATCATCATCTTCATCATCGTCATCGTCATCGTCATTGTCGTCATCATCACAATGACTTATTGATCATGTGGTTAGTGGTTAAGTGCTTGGTGTCTGGAGACAGACCGTGGGAGTTCCTGTCTGGACTCTGCCCATTTCCAGCTGTCTGACCTTGGCCATGTGACCTAACTTCTCTAATGCCTCAGTTTTCTCATCTCTGTGGCAGGAATAATTAGGCTGGTATGAGAACCGAATAAGACAGTGCACACAGAATGCTTGGCATGGTGTCTGGCACATAGCAGGGCTTTTGTCATCATCATCATTACTAATTTCTATCTGTCGTAATTATTCTTTAATGACTCTTAGATGGTTCCTGATAAGATAAAGTAAACACATGTAATTTCTCTTTTCCAGAAGCATATACTTGAAAATAAATACTTGTTGGCATGGATCTTTAACAAATCTTCATATACAACGGTCGGTAGAAACTAGACTATACCTACATCAAAGTATGTAAACCCAAAGGAGACAATGTTCCCAGGTTTTAGAGTACTCTAGCTAAGCAGAACAGATAGAGGTTAGCTGAAGCTGGGTTGTCGAAGGTGCGTTAACTGTTTCAGTCTTCTGAGGAGCCATAAATCAGGGCATTGTTCAGTGCTCGTTGTCCACTTGGGTTGCTCCTGGAGAGTTGGGTTCTATTCTATTAAGATAGATACTCTCAAGAGGCTTACCTGAAAGCATATAGATTTGAGATTGCTAATCATAAGACAAAGCTATGGTCAAAGTGACCTTTCAGGACATTGCTCTTGCCTCTGAACCTCAGTCTGATGCTAGTGGGCAGCTATGAGATCTGTAGAGGAAGGATAACCCAAAGCAGACCAACCATTTCTAAAGGGTGAATTAGATGCTTTTAACTTCTGTCAGTATAGAAGGTATTTATGAGCCATAATACCAACCACTGGAGGGACTTGGTAGTGATATACATTTGCCACTGCCTAGAAAGGTAAAAGGGAATTATTGGAACATCCTTTAGAGGCAAGATAGAATAGTACACCACTGACCAGCTCTGTGTCCTTACACAAACTGTGTAACCACTCTGGGTCTCAGGTTCCATATCTCTAAAATGTGAATAATACTAGACCTTATCCATATGGTGGTTGCAAGGATTAGACGTTGCCATGTGTGGCACTTGGTAAGTGCTAGGTAAACAAAACCATTCCTGCTTAGTGCTGTGACTGAGCCAGCATCTGGTTGCTTCCCCACCCTGGGCCTTCTTTGTTGGGCCCTGTAGTCACAAAGTCCTGGTAAGCAGGATTTGTTAGCTTCATTTCAAAACTCATTCTCCTGGTGGCTCATTAACCCAAACCAGACAGAGATTAACGGCCTGGCCTCAGAGGAGTAGGTGGGTACATGTTTCTGGTGCCTTTGGCTCATTGATTATACTTCTCCAATTCAGGGAATGCTTGGGTGTTCCAGGAAGGGATCTCCTGAGACCCAGGAAACATTGAAAGACAGTAATTTGGCACAAATTCATCCTAATTAAGGAGGGCTGGAAGTCCTGCATTTTACTATTCCTTCTGGATTTTGCCAGCTATAAATAGAAACAAGTTTCCCTTGGATAGAATGTTTAAATTTACTGGGAGAAATGCAGGGATCAAGGATGTCTGAAAAAAAATACTTGCCAAAGTGTGGTCTTCTCTACTGTACTTCCCTTGCCCAACTTTCCAAGGTTAGTGAATGCCAGTCACCATGGATCTGTGGTCCTAGCTATTACACTGTGACCCATTTCACTCACAGGTCACAAGGCTATGCAGGATCGGATCGCTGCCCCTCTGCCCTATCCTCATCTCCTACCCCTCTCTGCATTGCACTGATTGCCAACCACACTGGCCTTCTTCCTTCAAATGCAATGACTTTTCACCTTCGAAGGGCCTGTACTTTTTATTGGCACTGGCCCCACATCTTCCCAAGGAGGTGCCCTTCATCGGTCAGGCCTGGCGCAAAGGTCACTTCTTCCGAGAAGCATTTCCTCACCTAAAGTCCACAATACACCCCCGCTTTTTTTTATTTTAACTTTCTCCTGTGTACTTATCAATATTTGAAGTAATCATATTTGTGCATCTGCTTATTTCTGTTTTCTTCATTAATTGGAAAGTTTTATGAGAGCAGAGATTATAGATGTCTGGTTCATCTGTATCCCCAGTACCTGGAACATTGCCTGACCATTATAAGCACACAGTAAATATTTGTTAAATGCATGGATAAGTAAACGAATCACGAGCAACATGGGAAATTACTATTTAGGAGGTCTTCAAACTTTTCAAAGCTGCTATGCCCTTGTTCAACAGCCACATGAGTAAAATGGATAAAAGCCAAGGGAGGGGTCATTTGCTTTCAGCCTCTCTCCAACCCCTTTGGCAGTCCTTGTTTGTGCAGGTGCTGTGGGGCTTGATTTGGAAACCATGGTCTAGCTCAAGTTCATTTATATAGATGATAAAGATGCTGCTGAGGGAGAATGGGCCACTGTGTTTCCTCTTTTAAGTAGAAATTACACAACCTCTATGTCAGCCTCCACCTAGACTTGGTGGTGACTTTTGCCCTCCCCTTAGATTCCTTGAATGTTAAGCATTTCTTTTCTCAGTAGTAGAGTGCAGAGCGCTTGCATTGTGTTGTGCTGTTTCATTGTATTTCTTTGGCACAATCTCGTTTGATGTTCACAGCATCTCTGGCTGAGTCAGTCAGGAAAACCTATCATCGCCCACATTTTATAGATGAAGAAATTAAAGTTCAGCAAGATGAAGTTACCGATGGGGAAGCCCAGGCCAGGATCAAAATCCTTTGACTCCTTATCTCTCGAACTTTTAGGTATATGCATTGATGCCTTTTTATTCATTAGACAATCCTCTTTAAGTACAGAAACCTCTTCCCTTTTTCCTAATCTTTCTGACCTTTAATAAGTGGCCTGGTAGCTTTAGTTTTCTTTAGAAAACTAATAATAAAAGAGGGTGATTTGTTATATTTAGAGCTTGATAATTCAAAGACCTTCTTGAGTGACTCCCTCATTTTACAGATGAGGCAATAGATGCCCAGAGAGGCTAAGAGACCCAATGACACAAAGCAGCTAAAGGGCCAAGTGGGACCTCTTGACCAGCCATTCTCTGTCATATTTCTTAAGTAAAAAATCCCTTTCTGGATTTAATGGTTCTTTTCAGAGGTGGTTGCCTTGGTTTCTTTAGGGGTTAAATAAGTGGTTCTCAACAGAGAGTGGCCATTAGAATCACTGGAGGGAGATATATATAATTATATATATTATGATCAGGTTCACCTTATACCTTTCTATACCTATAGAACCTTAATAACCAAAGAGGGGCTTGGGTTCTATGATTTTTTTTCTTTACTTAATTAATTTATTTATTTTAGATAGAGTCTTGCTCTGTTGCCCAGGCTGGAGTGCAGTGGCATGATCTCGGTTCACTACAAGCTCCACTTCCTGGTTCATGCCGTTCTCCTGCCTCAGCCTCATGAGTTGCTGGGACTACAGGCACCTGCCACCATGACTGGCTAATGTTTTGTGTTTTTTAGTAGAGACGGAATTTAACCATGTTAGCCAAGACAGTCTTGATCTCCTGATCTCATGATTCACCCCCCTTGGCCTCCCAAAATGCTGGGATTACAGGTGTCAGCCACTGCTCCCAGCCAATTTTTTTCTTTTCTAAAGTAGAGGTTTCATCTTATTTAATTATGACAGCATATCAGGGATGGGCAAACTGTGATCCACAGACCAAATCCAGCCCACCACCTTCTTTTGTAGAGCCCATAAGCCAAGCATCATGTTTACAAACAAACATCTACAATCGACTTTATAAGGAATACTAACTTTGAGCACCAATTAAGCTAAATATCAACCTCTCTTAAAAAAAAAAAACATTCTTCTGATTAGTAGGCTTACATTTCAGAAAATCATACTCAAATATTATTAGATTCTCAATTTTGTCAAAAAAATTATGAAAATGTGCTTTCTATCTTGTTGTAGAAGTAGCTACATAATGTCATTGATTTTGCCTCTTGGCTCACAAAGCGTAAAATGTTAACATCTGACCCTTTGCAAGAAAAACTTGCTGACCCTTGCAGTATGTCCTTGTCTCTTTTATGTTGGGCATTTTCTTTTTCTTTATTGGGGTACTTTCCCTTTTTATGATTTATATTATTTAAGGGGTTTCTATGGAAAATATATATTCTCCTTATAACATTCAAATTTCTAGAAGTACGCAGAGTAAAAAGTAACAGTTCCCACTCCCCAGTATTAACAGTCAACGTTTCTGATGTAAAGGTCCTGACTTTGCCACTAACTAGCTGTGAGACATTAGTTAACCCCTCTAGGCTTCATATTCTCCATCTGTGAAACAGTGATAATAACAGCTCCTGCCCAACAGAATTGTCATGTTGATTATTTGAGATCGTTCATGTGAAATGCTTAGCACATTGCCTGGTGCGCAGTTCATGCTTAACGATTTGTAACTAATTTTAATTTTTTTCTCTTTTCTATTTATGTATGCATATACATTTACTTGCTTTCTTGAAAAGAGGGAATTTTTTTTTACACAATAAAGTTGCACAGATGATTCTGATGCACACACACTTAAGAACAGCTAAAGTAAATACTGAGAAGTAGATAATTATTGAATGGGTTCATATTTGGGAGCCAGAAATTACTTTCTACTTCATGGTGCAAACTAGGGAAAATGAGGAAGATAATGGTTTTCTACAGTGAACCTATAGGGTGGTATAAAATGCACACAAGTGAATTTTCATTTTTATTTTCCAGGTCTACAACTCGAACAAAGACAGCCAGAGTGAAGGGAGTAAGTATGATGCTTGGGTAACCTACAGCCAGGGTTGGGAGTGGGCTTTGAGAAGTTGCTACTCCAGGCGCGAACCACCAGGCGGTGCTGTGGGCATGTTGGGTTGGCCCCAGTTCCCGAGTGCAGTGGGACGTGCCTCCACCCCAACTTTCCACCGGTGACTCCAGAGGGACGGTAAGTAAGCCTGGCTGGCAAGGCTGTAGTGACGCCTTGCATTGAAATAATGTGTCACACTTTACAAAGCATTCTCGTGTACATTATCTCCTTTAATCGTAGGTCTTAAGACTATAGCTCATCACCACTTAAAAGTTACTTAATACAGTAGTACTCAACTCCCCGAGAGCCTTATCCTGTGGGAAAGCCAAAGTTGCTTTTGCCTCCAGCATGGTCTCGCTCAGAGGACTGGATAGGCAATAACTATGTTAGGTGATTTCTTAGTAACTCTGTTTTCTTCGTGGTCTGTTGGGGGAGGAAAGAATGGAGATGAATTCTATGGTAACATTCTTCTCTGCTGGAAGTGTCCCTGGGCAGCCTCTGTAGACCATAGTGCATTTGCCCTGCTGCTGCCTGTAAGCACTCTAGTTAATCATGATTTCCAAGGGTACCTGTAACCTTGTAAAGGCAACGGGATTAAAATGAACCTGCTACTGGTACAATGTTCGGGCTGATTATCTCCTTGGCGTATGGGAGAAAAAACAAAATCCTTCCAGGTTGCTGCAAGAGTACAAAGGAAATCCTGTCACCTTGCTTTGTAAAATTCACTTGAGAAAAAATTTAAAGGTAGCCCCACTGTGAATTCCAGTTGTGTTAGGAAAATCAGTAGAACAGTGCCTCTCCACGTGGACCAAAGGATGAAGTGTTTTTTTTTTTTGTTTTTTTTTTGTTTTTTTTTTTGTGAAAGTCATTATAGGACAGAGAATTTTTCCCCCTTTCTTTCTCTTCAAAATATAAGTTTTACGCGGGAGTTTTATATAAAATGTTAAGTAATTTGGAATGTCTGCTGTGGGTAGGTTGAGAGGCCTTTTTTGAGAGGAAAAAAAATGTACCCCCTCACCTCCAAAAAAAAAAAAAAATGAACAGGGGAAAAATTTCAAGTAAATATGCAAGGAAACAAAGACGTAATTCCACCCTACCCCACTCCCAGTTAGGTAAGATTGTTTTAGAGCACCTGAAGTCAACTCTGGCTAACTGAGGCAAAAACAACAGTAACAATAATGAAGGAATATGTAAGGCTGTATGGTAGCTTGTAGTAAGGTCGGAGGAGCTGAAAAGCGAGGCTTGAGAACAGACGAGTTCTGGAGACCCACGAACCCGATGAGAAAGGTTGTTCTGGATAATACGATAAAGCTCTAAACTGTTTGTAGTCCTTGACTCACCTTTCTGAAGATTGAAATTCCCAGGCATCAACTTGGTCTAACTTGGGTCCACCCAGGGGAAAACTGTACACTTTGATTGAAAGTTTTAAGACTGCTGCAAAAAATGGGAGTAGGGTAGTTTCCTAGAGGGAAATCAGGGAAGCCATCAGGACCAGAGGGGATGGATGCCAAGCAGGCTACACTAACAGATACTCACACCTGGCCCCTCCTGGGACACACTGTAATAAAGTACCCAAAAGTGGCGGGGGAGGAGAGGCATATGAATGGAGACCTCCACTCACACTGGCCAGAATTTTACTTGTAACTTGTGACCTTACGAACTTACATCTCTCTATTTGAGATAACTCCCAATAGATTTGAAAGACAACCATGGTTCTAGTAGTGGGCATCCCAACTGATTCTGATATTTCTTAAGGCATTTTGAGAATATGCTTTGGAAACCTGAAAAAAGTGACCACCCTCTAACCTCCCAATGGCTTGTCCTAAAGAAATCATTAGAGTGCAAAGATAGTTTGTACTTATTTG